AAAATGCTCTGTTCCAGACAGAGTGGATTCAGTTTGACAGAACAAAACACAACAGGTATGTTTTTGTTGAGGAAACAACACAGATCAAGAAATAGCGTAATATGGGCCCTTTAGTATTTATAAACACACACAAGTTGTGTTTTCTTTTCTTGTGGTTGTAGTTGTGGTAAATGCAAATTCACATAACTCTGGTGCTAGTTAAGAATTTGTCCCACTTTTATCATTTGTTACTGGATATGAATGTCCTTACCACTGATGTCTCTCAGATAAGCCTTTCCAGAGGGGATCCGTTCGAACCATTCGTTCAATGAGTTTCTTCCAGAGCATTCCTTCAGATATGACCCTTTGCCACTCCTTACACACCAGCTCGGCTGAACACAGTGAGCGTGCATCCAGGAAAGACAGGATGTTTTCTGCTATGTGGTCTAAACCTTGAGCTGGAATACACCATAATATATATTAGTGGTGAAGTATAGGATTTTGGACAAACCTGTGTAGACTTGGTGTTTTACCTGGCAGCGCAGTGATGAAGTCCCTCTGTAGCATGGGTTTGAGGTAGGAGTTTATGTGGCCATGCTGATAGTGGCACATCCGGGAGATCAGGCGCTCAACAAACTCCACCTGGTCAGCCTCTGACCACTGATCAAACAAAGCAATGCAGTGTTCCTTCTCCTTCTCATAGTTTCCTTCTGATGGACGTTTGCGTGACACCACAGGACCATTACTAATCTGCAAATGGTAAGAACAATTTTCTACTGTTGTATTTATACATAAAAACAAATAATGTGGTGATTACAAAAACTACAAATTGGTTTTATTATCAAGGCTTATTTTTTTGTGGAAGAGATCACTGGTCTGAACCATGTACAACTCTTACACTTTCATCACATATTCAGGAAATGTTCTCCTGTTGACACAATTGCTGTATTATCACTTAAAAATGAACAAATTATAAATAACCTAACATAGGAAGATATCAGTTAAGATATGTTATATGTCCTTCTACAAGCTTTGTCATTAAATATTGCATACCGATGACAGTTGGTATGTGATTTTTGCTATTCAAAAATGACCATCACCTGTGAAGCACATGGCCTCAGGTTTATGCTGTGCCTCTTTATGGAGCCAGAACTAAGAGCTACTAGTTTGCCTGTTTTCATATTATCAAAAGAGATTAGCTACGCTGCAGATTTGCTATAGAGGACTTGACTTCCCCACAATTTCATGGATTTTCAGAGAGTCAAGCATCTAAATAAAGGTGCGCATTTCCTCTCTATAGTTTTTCATGGAGGGTTAATGCCAATACACAGCAACAATGAAGTTAATTCAGCCTGTCTGGGATTAGTGCAGCTGGAATAGTTCAGAGTTGCTTTTTTGATCTTGTCAAACTGAACTCAATGTAACTACCTAATCCCTGTAAATTTGATGCAAATTAAATGTGCTTACCTTGACTAATGTGCTCTTCTTTGGTGACAGGTCATCCACAAGACTTTGGGACTCCATACCTGATGTTGTCTGAAATAACAAAAACAAAATATATCCTTGTAAGGAATGTAGTTTTGAAGATCATCTGTTGTAGGCACAGAAAGGGTCAAAGTAGTTCGACACACATGTGCCAAAACACAGCCAAAGAAAGGTAGTTCTCATGATTTCTGAGGCGTGCATGTACAAACACAGGTGTACACATATGAGTGAAAACTGGGGCCTGCAACAAAAAGAAAACAGCCTGCTTCTTTGTCATTAGAAGCAATAAAATGAACCTAAATCAGACCGTGGCTTAACAGTATATAGACAGAAAACTGAGGAAACATTAAGTTGTGTGGTGCAGTAACCATACAAATTAAATCCTTACACCCAAGCGTGATTTGACAGTTGAGTATTTCTATAATATTCAGAGAATTAGCTGAATGAAGTGTTATACACAATAAGTGATAAGGTTAAATTGGAAAAGGGGCAAACAGGACACAGACAATAATGACATTGCTGATGTTGATGGCCATGCAGAGCAGAAAAAAAAAAGGAAGAGAGGAGAAAGACATTAAGGATGTAGCCAGGCAGATAAGCATGTGACCTCAGAGCTTCATGCCCCCCCACCTCCGCCCTCACACCTCCAGAAATTCTCAAGTTGTTGTTTTTACACCACTGATGCACTGATTTATCATAAAATTCTTTGATATAAGTGATGTTCGGGAGACTATTAGTGTAATTACTATTTAAATGGTGAGGTAAACAGCATAGAAGAACTTGATGCATCTGGACTTTCAGTGGGGCAGAAAGAACAGCAAAAAGATGATAGTGCTTAGACTGTGCACAGTCTGCACCAGGGTGGCATGAGGAATTTGGTGTGAGTGGCACAGTGAAGGGTGGGGCAATGATCAGGAGAGAGGGGGAGGGAAGGGGTCAGCAGAATTAAAGAGGAGAGAGGCAGAACCTGGTTGTGAGCCCGGGTGGAGGGGATGCTCTGCAGGCACCTGAGTGCACACAAACTCTCAGCCACCGAGGAGCAGCCCAGCCAGAGAGAGCGAGGCACAGAGCACTGTGTGAAAGAGAGAGGGGTAGGGAGACGGGAGGAGGAGGGCGAGGTGGGCATGAAGGAGTGATGGAGGGTCAGGGACAGCAAACCAAAGGAGGTGAATGGACAGATTGGTGAAGTCGTGAGGAAGACAAAGACAGGTAGAAAAGTCAAGAGATTGTAGTAAAGAAATTATGTAAAATAAACAATGTCAGGTTGGTAATTGTTGTAGGTGAGTAAAAGAGGAACAAGGGAGGAGGTGGGAGAAATAGTGAGGGAAAAACCAGTATTAGAGCTACACACACATTGGCAGTGAGTGCAAAAAACACTCATCCACACAACAAAGACTGACTGATATACATACACACAGAAGCATTATTAGACATGAATTAGAGGGGGCAATGCATGCATCTGCAATTTAGATCCGATTATGTACAAAGTATACTACCTCTTCTGTTCTGCCATCCATATTACACAAGTCCACTTGTAGTTTGTGTACTGCACTTGTTACCGTCCCTAGTTTTAATTTGTGTGCTTTGTTAGTTGCAACTTCTTCTAATGTATAGAAGCTGTTTAATAGTATATTGGGATTATTAATCTGTGGGCAAAATACAAAAAGCTTTATCTACCTCGAATAATATAAAGTGATGCTTGTGAACGATTGCTTTTAAACCCTGCGATACTCGGGCATACTTCCCGCGAAATATTTTGTGGCATTATGAAAAACACAGCAATCCTACATAATATGAAACGAATTGGTAGTCTTTTATGAGCCGCACGACCACTTTGACCCTTGATTTTACTGATAAAGAGGCTACCGCTAGCCATCAGGCTAGTCGGCTAGCAAACTTTTTAACCTGTTGGGATATGTAAGCAATCTAAAATAAATTACAAAATATAAGTAGGCCAAATCCAAACGTGTTTTGAGAATCAATATCAATCCAGATTTACAACCGAATGGCAGCCCAATATACGTAGCATGTAGCAAGTTAGCTATTAAGCTAATTGCTACATTGCTACTCGTGAATGAAAAAAGCAACATACTTCCTTCTACGCAGTTCCAAAATATAAACAGGCTAACATGTTTAAACATCTATTACTTGTTTAAAAAACGTTGCCCTTGTTTGACTATCCGCCACTAAGTGCCAGAAGTTGGAATAATGAAAAAAGCTAATATAGGCGGACATTTACGGGATAGTTTTCAATCTACTTGGTGTTAGCTCTAGGCTAGGTAGCAGACAGGGCCCTGCTCAAGTGGCGCAGCGTCACCGCAGTGAACGCTCCTCGACGATCCAGGTTGGACTTCGTCCGACGATCAACACCAACCGTTTAATTGGCCTCTTTGTAAATAAAACCACATTGTAAATACAGGGACTGCCATAGTAAGCACCTTATCCAAACACTGTTTACTATTTAGATTTATACAAGTAACCCCTTTGGGTTAAATGTATTGATAATTTCAGGCCCTCTCTCTCTGATTTCTGGTCCCCCTCCTTTCTCCTCCGCCTCTCCTGCCCGCTCCTGCCATCGGTTTCAGCTTCAGTGTTTTTACCCAATATCGACAGAAAAACCGACACTTCTTTGGTTTACGTTGTCATATTAAAACTGAACTTACCATTAGTTCTAACGTTTTGTCCTCCATCTCCGGCTCCATGTTGACGATCCCCCCCGAAACTCGCTCTGAAAATGGAAACCCAGCCCTGCGTCGGCGGCCCGCAAATGCAGAGACGTCATTCACTCCGTTCAAGCATACAGCTTTGGTAGGGCAGTGTCAAAAGGGTGGGTGGGGGATGGGAACGCCCATGAAACTGTAAACGGTGCTGATTGGGTAGGCTTTATCAAGAGAGGAGTGGTTTCATAGCTTTGCCTGTTATTGATTGGCTTACCGTGCTACCAAGGCTTCCCCGGTGACTCCCCCAAACAAAAGGGCAAATGGATGAAGATGCTGTTGCTATCCCCAAGAAGAATTCACCAAGGCAAAATCAATCACCCGCAAAGCTATATCATGAACTATTGCACACTATAGGTCATTTATATATTTTGGGTTTTAACTCTAGTAATTTAAATGAACTATGGCAGCTGTACTGTCCTTAAACTACCTTGCCTTGGGTTTTCTAGTGGTCATTTGGAGTCACTTCACATTGTACATCAGGGGACATAATTTACATTTGGGATAATAAAACATACACACTGCAAAAGATTTGCTAAGTTTAAGTTTCCTGAAAACAGACATCTCTATGTCCATGTGTGTGAACACGCCAACGATTAAAACTGGACACATTTAAATTAATTAAAATTGAACACATGTACATGCTGTTTTTGCCTGTTGAGGGCTGCAGATGGGACAAAAGATGTTTAATAGTCCTGTGCATTATGCATCAACTCACCCCACTGTGCAAAGTGCAAATTAACTGTTCAATATGAAAGATTTAAGAAGCAAGGGTTACCCCAATGAGCAAACAGACCACAGCAGATGAAGAGGTAGCAATGGTTTTCAGCAGTTTAAATTTAATACTTTGTCCCCCTTTCTCTACAGAAACCCAGGTAAAAAAAATCCCCCACTCTCATAAAATACAACAGCAGCAGTTACCAGTAAAAAAATGAAATGCAAAATATAGAGAGAAAGCATAGAAGAGAAGAGGAAGGACATTATGAGGCAATGGAGGAAAATATACTTTTGTATAGTCCAAAGTTCATCTTTAGACCAGGAAAAGGGCAGCGGCGAATCTGGGAACTTGCTGTTGTGTTCGTTCAAAATGGAGGGGAGCAGGAAAAAAAAAATAAGAAAATGAGTCAAGTCCAATCCAACTGGGGAAGGAACCAGCACTCTAAGGCAGGGATTTATTCAGGAAGGGCCTTCTCCCTCACTGGAAATTACACTCCTCTTCAGCCTGTGTGATGTATTCTGTAATGTGTACACTAGATCTGTGTTCACATCATACGCAACAGAAAATTTGGAAAATGGGTCTCATATTGTACTGTATACAGTCAGGTCAATGCTGTTGCACCTCTCAATTGCTGCAAGAGAGGCCTCTCCTTAATTCTTCATTAATTCCATTTCGTGTTTTTCTCCCAATATCAGTCACCGACTACCTAGTAGTCATCCAAATCAAAGAACTCATCATCATCTCCTTGGTACTCCATGCCCTGGAAATCCACTCTGTACCGCAAGATTCCTAGAGAACAGAGAACAGAACTGTAACAACGATATTTGAGTCAGTCCCACTCATTTTGAAGCCTGCTACGATTCATCAATGATGACATAATTTCTGGGTTCTATTGTTGTAACATAAACTTTTCTGGTAGAGGGGCTGTCACCTGCTCGTCTCTGTGGAGAGGTTAGATGGCATTACATCTCCTTGGTGTCAGTGTGACACTGTTGGGCCAAGTTACAGTTTAAAAAAAATAAAATAAAATCTGTAATTTTATAAATGCTAGATGGATACTGTGGAACATAAAGCAATAACATCTCTATGGAGATTAAGATTAGTAGGTGGCACACTCTCCCACTATAAAAGTTACAGTGTGCATTTGAACAACATTATAGTCTTACAGTAATTCAATTCTTTTATTGTAATATGTCATCTATGATTTGCTTTTACACTGTAGCACTTAACAATTTATTATTATATTATTACCTACCACATAGCTGATCAGAATTCTATATCTGCAACTGGAAAGGTAGGTGGGACTGTTGCGCTCCACTTCATCAAAGTTATTAAAAGCTGCAGTAATTTTTTTTAAATCAAAGAGTGGGAGAGTGCATGGTTTGGCTGTAAATGGATGGGATACTTGGATGTATTTTGTTTGTTAACCTGCTCAGGGACTGCAGATGGAAACTAGCATGTAAAAGATCTCTTCTTATATGAGATTAATGTGTTTGTACATGGTCCCTGTTAAAATAAACCAATAAACTAAACTAAACTCACCCCCAATGCCTCCAAAGCCCTTGACAAACTGGGAACCCTCTTGACTCTTGTCTGTGACAATCTCCAAGGTGGCTCCAAATTTCTTGTAATTGTTGGCAAACCACTCCAACAATGGCATGCTCTCAATAAGCTCATGTTCCTGCCCCGTCTTCAAAAGAGCAAGAGAAAAGAACTTAAAACTCACACAAATCAAGGCAATGCTTTATTTGTGCAATACTAACCTCTTTGTCTGTGAAGTGAGATTTGTCTTTTTCTTGCTCTGGCGTTAAGTACAAAGTCTTCTCATCTAAAAAATATAATATTTTGTGAGTGACCCTATAATCATAGCAAGTTTACAGTGTGACTAGTTTTGCATGCTTACCATTTTCTGCTCCATTGCTTTCAGCCCCATGCACACGTAGAATGTAGCGCATGGTGTCCAAGTTCTCATAGACTATAAGGATCTCCACTGCTCCCATCTCCAAGGCTTTGAGTGTGTCTTCCACCCCAAAACAGTATTTTCCTGTGTCCTGACTGATTTCATCAAAGTATCGTCCTGAATCAAATAAAAAGAAAACAATGACTTTTTTAAAAAGGTATGTCCAACTATATGTCCATGGCCTTGAGGTAATCATAACCCACCTATGAGCTTCTTCTCCTGGATGAACTTGACATTTGAGAGGACTTCTGCTGATAGCTCTATAGCCTGGTTAAATCCATTCTCTCCTCCATAAGAAATATCCACTAGCTTCAATACCTTGGCTTGTAACCTCTATCGAAACAAAGGTTAGTACAGTGTTAATTTAAAAACATGACAGTCTCTTTGTTTACAGAGAACAGTGGACTTACTGGATCAAACATGTCAGACTGGCTGAGCTCAGTTTTGAAATCAGCAGATCCAGCCAGGACCATTCCTGCAACATTAACTTTGTCATTGGAAACAAAGAGCTGCACTGCTGTTTCAGCCACTTTCCTCACATAGTTGTGTCTCTTTTCCATTCTCAGACGAGCAAAACGAAGAGCAGACTGTCCTCCTCTCCCTGAATTATGAAAAATGTCTTAATTACTATATCAAGAGTATAAACACCTTGTCATCTACAAATGCCTTACTTACCATGCTTCTTGGGAAGGTCTACTGTGAACTTGTGCAGTACCTCTCTGGTATTCCCCTGTAGTGTACCAAATAGTGCACCACTGCCATCAATCACAATGAAGCCAAACTTGCTGTCATCTGAGAGTAGAGCGGTCAATGCCTGTGTTGTGTGTAAAAACAACTTAAGTATAAGTACACTGAAACACACTAAACATTAATAAGAGACCCCTACCTCCGTATGAAACTTATTGTCACAGAGGTACAAGGAAGTGTTGATTGGCTTAAAAGGTTCAAAGTCAATATTAACTTTCTTCTCTTTTCCTTCTTCTGTGACAATGGTGCCACAGTACACAACCAAACCATTTGGTGGCACTGTAATAAAAATCAAATAAAGAATGTTTGCCAAAACATCATGATAAATAATGTCCAGGGAGTGTAGTCAAAATGAGTCTTCAATTTTATAACCAACAGCAAAAATATTTTAGTTTTATAATAACCATACCCTTGTTGTACAGTTTTAGTCTTTGCTGTACAGATGTGATGGCCCCAAGAACAGAGAGCCGGTTGACTCTGCTTTTGATGTTCGATGCGGTGCCAAACTCATCGGCCAACATCTTGGCTACTCTGGATATCTGGTCCTTTGGAGGGATGATCAGTGAGATCATACTGGTGCCATTGCTATAGGGGATATCAAGATTGGGGAAATACACAATGCAAAATGACAATTATTACATAGGCAAAAAGAACAGTATTTTAAGCAAGCATGTAATAATAATGTTACAAATATGTATTTAACCAAACAAACTCCAGTGCTAGTAGCTGTGGGGAAATTATCACCTTGACTAAACGAAGGCCAAATGAGCTGGACTTTTGGCACACAATCTGTCCTTGAAGGGAACAAACTAAGCACATGTGCAATTGCAATACATCCACATGACTGGTATAGCAATACATATAAATAAATTGACACTGACCAGGATTTCACAAAACATCTGTTTGATTACAGGGTGAATAATGAGTATGTAATAGGACAGACGGTCAAGCAAAGGACAGCAAAGTCTCTGTAAAACCTGACGGCATGATGGCGCATAAAGCTACGAATGACAGCTCCCAAAATAAAACAACGTATTTTAAAAATTAATTAGCATGTGTTAAGTAAGTAATAGGTTATAAAGGTTTAAGCTGGTGGCCAAGTCTAATCAAATCAGTGTTCCAGGCAGGCAGCGCTACTCTTTAGCATTAGGGATGTGTTCATTGAGCAATTGGCTGTTATTATCGATGAATGGTGGCCAAGTGTTAACTACAGTAGGCAGCCGGCCTTCTGTAAGCTCCAACGTGCTCTTTTGATAAAGACACCCATGGCGGCCTCTCACCAGCGATGACGTCTATTAGCCTGTCTCATTAGCCACGCATATGACAATCCTTTCACAAATACGGACACTCTACAAGACAGTGGCCATAACGAGGAATAAAGTGTGAATACGTGTATATTACACCGTATGAAGGAGCGCTCATTCACAGACACGCGAGTAATTGCGACAAAGCCTGACAACCGGGACTAGCAAGTGAAGCTAACTTAGCTTAGCCGTGGAAGCTACCACTCCCAAAACGGCCCGCTTATCCAACCTCCAGCTGTTCCCGTGGTACTCATTACACATCGTCGCCAAAAACTCCACTCCACTTGGTAAGTAGATGACATGCGGTATCTGTTGATAGATTACTCACCCGCGGGCCGCTTCCAAACTTTTGATCAGCTTCTTGATTTTCCATATCTCCACGTTTCTGTCCGCTGCGCTAGGGTCGTCCGCCATCTTTCCGCTATAACAGCTTCAGCACCTAAAAGGATATAAAATGTGTAAAGTGGATTTAGTTAACAATGAAAACAAGACTGATGGTCAGATTCAAATTGAATGGCAAGCGAATCTGCAAAGCTGATCGGAAATAATACCTCCCCCAACTCGCGGAAAGGTGTCTGATATAAGGCACCTGAACGGAACAGGCTGCTCCACAGACCGTGAGGAAAAGACCACTCTGGGCAGAAGTGATCAACACAGCGCGGGGAGAAAAGCGGGCCTACTGTCTGCAAGGCCCTAGCGTCCACCCTGTTCTTATCTAATACGACCTAGTTTCACCTAAATTATCCCGGAAAACCCACAGACAATACCCTCTGCTAGGTCGACGATCGCTGCACATTGGAATACGTAAAAATAGCGCCGTACCTGCCTCGGACAACGCCGCTCCGCTCCGCTCTGCTACGATGAGTCGGTGGTCCGAGGAATGACGTTGCCTTCCAGACCGGTTCTCTCTCCGCCTGCTGCGCGTGGTGCTTTCGATGGAGCTCACATGTGGGAGGAGGGTAGGCTTTGCCAGACTTTGCTTCCTGGAAACCACATGGAAACCAAATTCAATCGCCCGACTGGCCCGTCAATCTTTGTAACCTATGTGTGATTGGACAGCTCAACAAACAGCGTCGAGACTGGGCGGGGCTTTATGGGCATAGCGATGGGTCCATGGACGGAGCAAGTAGTGTTGGGCTTGCAAATTTGGTGTTGACTTTTTCTGGGCTTGATCCTGAGAGGCACGATCCGAAGAGGTGATTTTTGGCCTTTTTTGTTCCGAGTCACGTTTATATGTCCGTATTGTTGTATCATGTTGATGCAAATTAATTAGGATGTACAAAATATTTTTATATTATCGTGATTGTTTTTGTATATTTTACAAAAGTGATTAAGAGATGACAGCACACACAGTTTTGTTGCTCATTTGGAGAGAAATCTTTGTGTGATACAGCTAACATAATATATATCATATATATATATAATATATATATATATATATATATATATATATATATATATATATATATATATATATATATATATATATATATATATATATATATAGCATCACTATATTGTAATGTAATTCTGCTGTGTATTGCATCTAATAGCTAGGGACCCTGTGATTCCCATGCCCTACATAAACGCATCAGTGGTTTGAAATGTGTCAATGTCCAAGTGAAATGTCTAATAACCTCTTTGTTAGAGTTGAACAATAGCTGCTTTAAAATACTGGGGCTGTCATTTTCAAGACGGAGAAATAACAATCCCTCTAATTAATATTATGACTTTCAAAAAAGTATGTTTCATATTTTTTAAAAAGCTGTTTACAATTGCAGCAACACAGCTCCTTCTTTGATGTCGATACTGTTGCAAAAGAATGGGTGTGTGTGTCAGTTGTGGCCTAAGTCAGAGTCATTAATTAGGTTACAGTCAGTAGGCGTAACTGTCGAATAGTGTTGAGCACATACTTGGAGTACTTTACTTTTTACTTAAGTACTTATTTGGATCACAACTTTAAGCTACTTTTAAACTCTTGAATTAGTTTAAAGTAACCCCTAATCAAAGAAAAATGTGGGGCTACTCCTATCCACTTCTGTAGGTAAGTTTCACTTGTTTCATTTCCACATCACTTTAAATTTGAGTCTTAGATCATTTCAGATATAATGCTGAAGAGTGTTATAATAACCTTGTTGTGAGTGTTGTAAAATATGTAACAGTAAAATGAACAGTAGCCTATAAAATGTGACAGAACCCCCGACAATGTCGATATGCCTATATAAATGCCTTGTCTATTAATTAAACTTTAAAAAAAAAAAAAAAAAAAAAACGATTTAACAAATTCTAGTGTGTACTTGAACGTATTCTACACTAGATGGCAGTATTGTTTAAAATACATTTGCAGTGGCCAGACTTAATCAGGTGCTACAAAGTAGAGACCTACTTTTACTTTCATAAGAAGTATCTTCAGAAGTTAGTTTTGTTCAAAATGTGCAATGTGCCTTTGTACATTCACAATATGTTTATGATAATAACAACAATTTAGATGTATTAATCTTGTATAGCGCTTTTCTAGATGCTTTACATTTCCGTACATTATTCCTTTACTGCATACTCTGTGTGGTAAGCTACTGTTGCACCCACAGCTGCTCTGGGGCAGACCAATGGAGGTGAAGTTGAAATGTATGTCATCAACACCTCTGACCAACACTCATACACAATTTTTCCACTGGTCCCCCACTGTGGCACCTGATTTTCCCAACAGTCTCCCATCCAAGTACTAACCAGGCCCAGCCCTGCTTAGCTTCCAAGATCTCACAAGATCAGGCGTTAAGAAGGATTGGCCATGCTACTATATTTATATGGCCATTGCAAATATTCACTGATGTTGCACTGGGTGCAGTGTGAGAAAATAAGTAACTATATGCATTGTTTCAATCATGTGTTCTGCTTTATATGTACAACAAAATTTGAAGAAGTCTGATCTACAGAATCTACAGGCCAGAGCTCAATTTTTCACATCCAAAGGTGAAAGTCTTTTTTGGTCTCCTTTGAGGTGTATAGCTCTATACAATTATCAATTGTCTTCATATGGTCACATAGTAAAGAAATAATTGGCTATTAAATGTTTTCCTCAAGTAAGCGTAGAAGACTGTTGTCAGATCATTAGTGAGCAAAAGATAAGAAGATCACGTTTTTCAGTGTAGATCCATGTAACACTGTATACAAAACACTTCTAAGGTACAGTAACAGCCTCTAAGCCACTAGGGGACAGAAACGATCCAGCATTTCTTGCTACAATAGATTAATTGAATCAGCATATTGAATGACCAAGGAGACTTAATGCTTTTTAAATACGATAACTTAAAGGATAACTTTCCCTGACACAAATTAAAAATAACTAAGAAGCAAAATCTTAGTTATTGAGCCACGATAAGCCCTTAAAGATCACAGAAAATGTATGCTAATATGTAACCCACCTCAGATGAATGAGATGCAGTGAATGAACATGAATACAAATGTTCCATGTAATTGCAATATGCAGGAATATATTAGGACTCTTCTCAGGGCATCAACCCCATTTTCCCCCCACATCAGCTTGCATGAGGATGTTATTGCTGTGACGATGAGGCACAGCTGACTGCTCCTCCGGCTTCAAAAGTCATTGACTCTAAACATGATGTCATTATATTGATATAAAAACATCCTAATGTTGAAATGCATTGTCATGTTGGGAGACCCTGGCATTTACAGGTTTACACATGAAAAGGAGAATTAATTACATTTTTGGCATGCTTAGTTTACATTTCACTTTGGCTTTCTCAGGCAAAAAAGTTTGGACAGCCCTGTTACAGTTCAGTGCTCAAGGGTTGCCCTTGATCCCATGCCTTTTGTAGTATACACTGATACCACAAGTTATAGCAATCTTTGACAACAATAGAAAAAAGGCAGAAATGGGAGCAATAGGAGCAAGTCAACAGCTATGCATGTGTGGTGTTTTATATTTGTGACTACAAAGTTGACCTCATCTCCTTAAACATTTATAAGCAATTACCTTTTTGTCAATATGGAAGTCATCTAGTTTATTTACCTTGTGCTCAAATACGAAGGAACACCTTTTTCTGGTTTCTACTTTGGCCTTAACATGGAGGTTTTTAGAGTTTGATACTATTTCAAAATAAAGATGGAAAAAGCCAGTGACAGGGCAAAAATGAGAGTCACATACATAACAGTTAAAGTGTCAGGGCTTATTTATGTACAATCACAGAAACAGATCCACTGGGAAAATGCGGGGGTCACTTGTGGTGTTTACCTGACAGCCTGAGTGGGCGCTGATGGTGGCACATTTCACACCAACAATAGTACATACAGTAGATTTCTAAAGAGCATAGCAAATGCCATGTCAACTTCAACTTAAAGCAATTTGTTCCCTTAATTTAAAGCTGCCCTTGTACAGAGCACACGTTAGCCTGAAAAATAACTTGGTAGACAGGCTCTAGGGGTGGTCTGAGGAGAATATCAGTATGTAATAGAGCAATGTAAAGGTGTAGATTAAGTGTCAGCCAAATGATAATTTTCACTGGTGAGGTGAATAGCAAATCATTATTATTCCCATTCACTTGTTAAAACAAGGCAAAGGAACTACAGTAAGAAGTGACACTGATTTAATGATGACAATGACAAAATTGCAATGATTCCACAAAGAGGGGATCATATATCTCTAGAGGTGTGTTCCGGGTCTGCAGTAGTCACTATCAAACCAAGGGAGGAGCAGAGGAGAACAGGCAGCAGGTGATGAATGTGGCAGGATGAGGGTGGTCTGAACCAACTCACTTCCCACTTTTCATCTGTAAACATGCATGATGACATAATCATAAAACACAATAAATAATGTAAAGAAGATGGTCATGATGGCTAATTGGCTTGTAATGTGTAGAAAAAGATAATAAAACACGCAAATTGGCATTTGTTTACCTAGAAGGTCATAAGAGTGCATTCAGGAGAAAGTCTCTGAGTATTATAGCAGTCTGAATAAGATGAGATGGGAGACTGGGAGTGATCCACTTAACCCCCAGTGAACAGCGAACACTCATTAACTTCCCAATCAATGGTAATGCAGGGTTCTCTGCACCACCATCCTCCACTGTAAACACTGCCTCCTGCTAAACACAGAGGACTGCAGTGTTCCAAAAAATAAAAAAAATAAAAAAATTATTGCTAATGACCAGCCAAATGCCACAGTTTAAAGCATGTACAAGATGTTCAGTTTAATGCTCTGAATAAACGTCATCATTTACAAAAATGAAAGGTAAGTTCTTTGAAATGCTCCCAATGAAATGTCAGCATCTGCTTTAGAATATTCATTTATTTATATTTTTCAAGTTTTAGTTTTCATTTGGTTGAAATAAACAAATACATTCATAGAGTTTTGTTTTCATATGGGTCCTGCATCATGAAAATATGTCCACATTGCAAACTGTTTGTATTTAAAGAAATTGCATTCCCACAGTTTGTTTGTCCAATTAGCTGTTCAATTCAGAACCTTTGTTTGCAAACCAATATTATATTACATAATATACAAAGTGTACCTGGCCGTAACAACAGCACAGTGAGTAACCTAGACTCTAACAACATACCATTACAGAAGCAGTTTTAAGTTTTCCATTATAACAATTTTTAATATTTTGATAAAACTCAACATCTATTATTAGAAAGATTAAGCGTGATGTTTCCTTTAAAACTACACTTCAAGACAACATTATGAGATAAGGCTCCCTCAGTGTCCTCTAAGGCTGGATAAAGGCCAGCTCTGATTGGACAATAAAGATAGTTGGACTCTGTGTACAGAGTACTTTGCCAACAGGAAGACAGGGCTGGACACTAATTAATGACCACAGGTCTGTGTACGGGTCAGTAGACAGCTACTGTCTCTGAGATACTTTTTGTCCCTGTAGATTTAGGATCAACTATGTGCTGTACAAATAAGACAGTAATTCTGACCCAAATGGGGTTGACAGTAACTATTTTGTCCAGT